CAAGATTCATCGAAATAATTATTTAAATATAAATAACACGCCAAGTGTATTTATTTATTTTGTGTCTGTAATTTTAGTTGTAAAGTGATAAACACAATTCTTTTTATAACTGTACTCAAATTTAACTGACATAAGCGTGACTTAAGCAACGAAAAACGCATAAGATTAAATAGAGTTACTAAATGTTATTTTATACAGCATTCAAGAATCTTACCAATTCTGTTAGTTCAGTTACATTAAAATGTCTTTCTTTTCTATTTATGAGACTCAAGTATAAAGCATTTAAGCGACCATTTAAGCAAATTGAGTACTAAATCTTGTACAAAAATTAAACTGAGTACTGGTCAAAAACCAAAAATTGTTCTCTTCAAACTGAGTACTGGCCGAAATCAAAAATTGCTCTAAGTAACTTGAGTACTGGTCAAAACTCAAAATTGTTCTAAGCCACCTGAGTACTGGTCAAAACCAAAAACTGTTCTAAACAACCTGAATACTGGTTAAGATTTAAAGGTTTTCAAAAACAACCTGAGTATTGGTCAAAATCAAAAAACTGTCCGAAGCAACCTGAGTTCTAGTTACAATAAAAAATATAAGTAACCTCAGTACTGGTCAAAAGCAAAAATTGTTCCACGCAACCTGAGTATCGGTCAAAATCAATAATTGTCTCTAAAAATTATGTATAAAATATAAAATATATATAATATTCCAAACAATGTATACTTGGACTCAAACATCTAATCTGATGTAACCAGACAAGTAACATATTCCTTATATTTTCTCTTTGAATATCGGGCTGAAATTTAAAATATTAACATTGTTATTGCTATTGTTAATTGCTGTTAATTGTAACTCGTAGTAATAATAAACTAGGTTTAAACCGGCAGGTTCCATGTAAATGCTACTAAACACAAAATTAAAAATAATAGTAGAAATTTGCGGTCGTAATAGAAATCATATAACGAAGTATGAAAAATAGAATTTTCAACCAATCGTTGTGGGCTTGAGTAAATTTAAAAACCGCCAAGTTTTTATCTATCTAAAAATAGATAATTACGAAACTTTGCAACAAGTCATTGTCGGTCGACTTAAAATTACCAGTTGATTTACACAAATTTACACCATGTGACTCTCTGACTCCAAAAGTTGGAAAGCAAAACAGTTGGAAATCCAAATACCCACCGACAAATGAATCTACATGCCCGCTTGTGTAAGTCAATACGTTTGTACAGCCTTTTCTACCGTAAATTATGAGTAACATTTACTAAAATGCAGGAACTTTATCTCTATCAGATAAGTATAGATTTCTACGAACATTTCAACTAATAAAGCCTTTACTATGAAAAGATACACAAACAAAACTCACAACGTTACATAGAAAAACTTTGTTGTAAAAGTGTAAATAAAGTGGAAGTTTAATTACAATATTAATTGTTACTTTGACAAATTATTAACCCCGCTATAAAGTAATGAAGAAACCTAACCGAATAGAAAACCTGACCGAGGAGTCAAATCCTTGTTTAAACTTTACACTAACAACATAATAATAAAAAAAATAATCTTAACAATTTATAAACTACACGGCCATTTCGTCAAAGTGATGTTAACTAGGCATAATGTCATATAAAGAAAATAATATAAAAAATAAAGCAATATGAAAAGAATAAAAAACAAAACAAACTAAAAGCTGTTGCCAGGCTAACTTCAGTACCAAAATATCAACAAATTTATTATCAAGTTTGGCAGACAAGAAATTGAATATTGCTTTGTGTATATATGATATATGGTGTATGTGTGTGGGAGGAACTAAAAAATTTAAGTTAGATTTATTCATAGGAAATACAGTAGCACATAGATTTGTATTCATGGTTGAATGTTTCTGAAGAGCCGAGCGCAAAAACAAATAGTAACGGAAGCATAAAAGACAACTCAAAAGAGTTAATCTGAATTTCTCAGATAAAATCTTTTCATCAATAATTTCCCATGGGGTTGTCTTTCATCTTATTGCTGATGCTTTTTATCGCAACGTCCAGTTCTTTTACATTTTACGACTGCTAGTAAGCAACTTGGATTGGAAAAAAGACGTTTACGGCCATATCAGATTGAAACACCGATTTTTCCTACGATTACCAGATTTAAGCAACGTCGATCCTGGTAAGTAGCTAGATGGGTGATCGCTTCGGAAGGCCGGGTGATGTAAGTTTTTTTTTTATCGCAATGTCTAGGTCGTTTTATATTCTACGGCCGTCAGTAAGCACCTTGATTGGAAAAAAGACGTTTACGGCCATATCAGATTGAAACGCCGGTTCTCATACGATCACCGAATTTAAGCGACGTCGAGAATGGTCAGTACCTAGATGGGTGATCGCTTCGGAAGGCCGGGTGATGTAAGTTTTTTTTTATCGCAATGTTCAGGTCGTTTTATATTCTACGGCCGTCAGTAAGCACCTTGATTGGAAAAAGACGTTTACGGCCATATCAGATTGAAACGCCGGTTCTCATACGATCACCGAATTTAAGCGACGTCGAGAATGGTCAGTACCTAGATGGGTGATCGCTTCGGAAGGCCGGGTGATGTAAGTTTTTTTTTATCGCAATGTTCAGGTCGTTTTATATTCTACGGCCGTCAGTAAGCACCTTGGATTGGAAAAAAAGACGTTTACGGCCATATCAGATTGAAACGCCGGTTCTCATACGATCACCGAATTTAAGCGACGTCGAGAATGGTCAGTACCTAGATGGGTGATCGCTTCGGAAGGCCGGGTGATGTAAGTTTTTTTTATCGCAATGTTCAGGTCGTTTTATATTCTACGGCCGTCAGTAAGCACCTTGGATTGGAAAAAAAGACGTTTACGGCCATATCAGATTGAAACGCCGGTTCTCATACGATCACCGAATTTAAGCGACGTCGAGAATGGTCAGTAGCTAGATGGGTGATCGCTTCGGAAGGCCGGGTGATGTAAGGTTTTTTTTTTATCGCAATGTCTAGGTCGTTTTATATTCTACGGCCGTCAGTAAGCACCTTGGATTGGAAAAAAAGACGTTTACGGCCATATCAGATTGAAACGCCGGTTCTCATACGATCACCGAATTTAAGCGACGTCGAGAATGGTAAGTAGCTAGATGGGTGATCGCTTCGGAAGGCCGGGTGATGTAAGGTTTTTTTTTATCGCAATGTTCAGGTCGTTTTATATTCTACGGCCGTCAGTAAGCACCTTGATTGGAAAAAAGACGTTTACGGCCATATCAGATTGAAACGCCGGTTCTCATACGATCACCGAATTTAACGCGACGTCGAGAATGGTCAGTACCTAGATGGGTGATCGCTTCGGAAGGCCGGGTGATGTAAGGTTTTTTTTTTATCGCAATGTCAGGTCGTTTTATATTCTACGGCCGTCAGTAAGCACCTTGATTGGAAAAAAGACGTTTACGGCCATATCAGATTGAAACGCCGGTTCTCATACGATCACCGAATTTAAGCGACGTCGAGAATGGTCAGTACCTAGATGGGTGATCGCTTCGGAAGGCCGGGTGATGTAAGGTTTTTTTATCGCAATGTCTAGGTCGTTTTATATTCTACGGCCGTCAGTAAGCACCTTGATTGGAAAAAAGACGTTTACGGCCATATCAGATTGAAACGCTGGTTCTCATACGATCACCGAATTTAAGCGACGTCGAGAATGGTAAGTAGCTAGATGGGTGATCGCTTCGGAAGGCCGGGTGATGTAAGGTTTTTTTTTATCGCAATGTTCAGGTCGTTTTATATTCTACGGCCGTCAGTAAGCACCTTTGATTGGAAAAAAAGACGTTTACGGCCATATCAGATTGAAACGCCGGTTCTCATACGATCACCGAATTTAAGCGACGTCGAGAATGGTCAGTACTACCTGAGATGGGGTGATCGGCCGTCGAAGGCCGTTTACGGTGATTGAAACGGGTTTTTTTAAACGACGTCGAGAATGGTCGCAATGTCTAGGTCGTTTTTTTATATTCTTTTATATTCGGCCGTCAGTAAGCACCTTGGATTGAAAAAAAAGACGTTTACGGCCATATCAGATTGAAACGCCGGTTCTCACGATCACCGAATTTAAGCGACGTCGAGAATGGTCAGTAGCTAGATGGGTGATCGCTTCGGAAGGCCGGGTGATGTAAGGTTTTTTTTTATCGCAATGTCGAGAGGTCGTTTTATATTCTACGGCCGTCAGTAAGCACCTTGATTGGAAAAAAGACGTTTACGGCCATATCAGATTGAAACGCCGGTTCTCATACGATCACCGAATTTAAGCGACGTCGAGAATGGTCAGTAGCTAGATGGGTGATCGCTTCGGAAGGCCGGGTGATGTAAGGTTTTTTTTTTCTATCGCAATGTTCAGGTCGTTTTATATTCTACGGCCGTCAGTAAGCACCTTGATTGGAAAAAAAACGTTTACGGCCATATCAGATTGAAACGCCGGTTCTCATACGATCACCGAATTTAAGCGACGTCGATCCTGGTCAGTAGCTAGATGGGTGATCGCTTCGGAAGGCCGGGTGATGTAAGGTTTTTTTTTTATCGCAATGTCTAGGTCGTTTTATATTCTACGGCCGTCAGTAAGCACCTTGGATTGGAAAAAAAGACGTTTACGGCCATATCAGATTGAAACGCCGGTTCTCATACGATCACCGAATTTAAGCGACGTCGATCCTGGTCAGTAGCTAGATGGGTGATCGCTTCGGAAGGCCGGGTGATGTAAGGTTTTTTTATCGCAATGTCTAGGTCGTTTTATATTCTACGGCCGTCAGTAAGCACCTTGGATTGGAAAAAAAGACGTTTACGGCCATATCAGATTGAAACGCCGGTTCTCATACGATCACCGAATTTAAGCGACGTCGATCCTGGTCAGTACCTAGATGGGTGATCGCTTCGGAAGGCCGGGTGATGTAAGGTTTTTTTTATCGCAATGTCTAGGTCGTTTTATATTCTACGGCCGTCAGTAAGCACCTTGGATTGGAAAAAAAGACGTTTACGGCCATATCAGATTGAAAACGCCGGTTCTTGCTACGATCACCGAATTTAAGCGACGTCGAGAATGGTCAGTAGCTAGATGGGTGATCGCTTCGGAAGGCCGGGTGATGTAAGTTTTTTTTTATCGCAATGTCTAGGTCGTTTTATATTCTACGGCCGTCAGTAAGCACCTTGATTGGAAAAAAGACGTTTACGGCCATATCAGATTGAAACGCCGGTTCTCATACGATCACCGAATTTAAGCGACGTCGAGAATGGTAAGTAAAAATGTCTGACGTTTACTACGATGGTTGATCGCTTCGGAAGGCCGGGTGATGTAAGGTTTTTTTTTATCGCAATGTCTAGGTCGTTTTATATTCTACGGCCGTCAGTAAGCACCTTGGATTGGAAAAAAAAGACGTTTACGGCCATATCAGATTGAAACGTTGGTTCTCATACGATCACCGAATTTAAGCGACGTCGAGAATGGTAAGTAGCTAGATGGGTGATCGCTTCGGAAGGCCGGGTGATGTGGGTTTTTTTTATCGCAATGTCTAGGTCGTTTTATATTCTACGGCCGTCAGTAAGCACCTTTGGATTGGAAAAAAGACGTTTACGGCCATATCAGATTGAAACGCCGGTTCTCATACGATCACCGAATTTAAGCGACGTCGAGAATGGTCAGTAGCTAGATGGGTGATCGCTTCGAAGGCCGGGTGATGTAAGGTTTTTTTTTATCGCAATGTCTGGGTCGTTTTATATTCTACGGCCGTCAGTAAGCACCTTTGATTGGAAAAAAGACGTTTACGGCCATATCAGATTGAAACGCCGGTTCTCATACGATCACCGAATTTAAGCGACGTCGAGAATGGTCAGTAGCTAGATGGGTGATCGCTTCGGAAGGCCGGGTGATGTAAGGTTTTTTTATCGCAATGTCTAGGTCGTTTTATATTCTACGGCCGTCAGTAAGCACCTTTGATTGGAAAAAAAGACGTTTACGGCCATATCAGATTGAAACGCCAGTTCTCATACGATCACCGAATTTAAGCGACGTCGAGAATGGTCAGTAGCTAGATGGGTGATCGCTTCGGAAGGCCGGGTGATGTAAGGTTTTTTTTATCGCAATGTCTAGGTCGTTTTATATTCTACGGCCGTCAGTAAGCACCTTGGATTGGAAAAAAAAGACGTTTACGGCCATATCAGATTGAAACGCCGGTTCTCACCGATCACCGAATTTAAGCGACGTCGAGAATGGTCAGTAGCTAGATGGGTGATCGCTTCGGAAGGCCGGGTGATGTAAGGTTTTTTTTATCGCAATGTTCAGGTCGTTTTATATTCTACGGCCGTCAGTAAGCACCTTGGATTGGAAAAAAAGACGTTTACGGCCATATCAGATTGAAACGCCAGGTTCTCATACGATCACCGAATTTAAGCGACGTCGAGAATGGTCAGTAGCTAGATGGGTGATCGCTTCGGAAGGCCGGGTGATGGGTTTTTTTTTTATCGCAATGTCTGGGTCGTTTTATATTCTACGGCCGTCAGTAAGCACCTTGGATTGGAAAAAAAGACGTTTACGGCCATATCAGATTGAAACGCCGGTTCTCATACGATCACCGAATTTAAGCGACGTCGAGAATGGTCAGTAGCTAGATGGGTGATCGCTTCGGAAGGCCGGGTGATGTAAGGTTTTTTTTTTTATCGCAATGTCTAGGTCGTTTTATATTCTACGGCCGTCAGTAAGCACCTTGGATTGGAAAAAAAGACGTTTACGGCCATATCAGATTGAAACGCCGGTTCTCATACGATCACCGAATTTAAGCGACGTCGAGAATGGTCAGTAGCTAGATGGGTGATCGCTTCGGAAGGCCGGGTGATGTGGTTTTTTTTTATCGCAATGTCTAGGTCGTTTTATATTCTACGGCCGTCAGTAAGCACCTTGGATTGGAAAAAAGACGTTTACGGCCATATCAGATTGAAACGCCGGTTCTCATACGATCACCGAATTTAAGCGACGTCGAGAATGGTCAGATGGGTGACTAGATGGGTGATCGCTTCGGAAGGCCGGGTGATGTAAGGTTTTTTTTATCGCAATGTCTAGGTCGTTTTATATTCTACGGCCGTCAGTAAGCACCTTGGATTGGAAAAAAAGACGTTTACGGCCATATCAGATTGAAACGTCGAGAATGGTTCTCATACGATCACCGAATTTAAGCGACGTCGAGAATGGTCAGTAGCTAGATGGGTGATCGCTTCGGAAGGCCGGGTGATGTAAGGTTTTTTTTTTATCGCAATGTTCAGGTCGTTTTATATTCTACGGCCGTCAGTAAGCACCTTGATTGGAAAAAAAGACGTTTACGGCCATATCAGATTGAAACGCCGGTTCTCATACGATCACCGAATTTAAGCGACGTCGAGAATGTTCAGTAGCTAGATGGGTGATCGCTTCGGAAGGCCGGGTGATGTAAGGTTTTTTTTTATCGCAATGTCTGGGTCGTTTTATATTCTACGGCCGTCAGTAAGCACCTTGATTGGAAAAAAGACGTTTACGGCCATATCAGATTGAAACGCCGGTTCTCACGATCACCGAATTTAAGCGACGTCGAGAATGGTAAGTAGCTAGATGGGTGATCGCTTCGGAAGGCCGGGTGATGTAAGGTTTTTTTATCGCAATGTCTAGGTCGTTTTATATTCTACGGCCGTCAGTAAGCACCTTGATTGGAAAAAAGACGTTTACGGCCATATCAGATTGAAACGCCGGTTCTCATACGATCACCGAATTTAAGCGACGTCGAGAATGGTCAGTAGCTAGATGGGTGATCGCTTCGGAAGGCCCGGGTGATGTAAGGTTTTTTTATCGCAATGTCTAGGTCGTTTTATATTCTACGGCCGTCAGTAAGCACCTTGGATTGGAAAAAAGACGTTTACGGCCATATCAGATTGAAACGCCGGTTCTCATACGATCACCGAATTTAAGCGACGTCGAGAATGGTCAGTAGCTAGATGGGTGATCGCTTCCGAAAACCGGGTGATGTAGGTTTTTTTTATCGCAATGTCTAGGTCGTTTTATATTCTACGGCCGTCAGTAAGCACCTTGGATTGGAAAAAAAGACGTTTACGGCCATATCAGATTGAAACGCCGGTTCTCATACGATCACCGAATTTAAGCGACGTCGAGAATGGTCAGTACCTAGATGGGTGATCGCTTCGGAAGGCCAGGTGCTGTAAGCTTGGATGTGAGGGCGCTGTAATGGGTAACGGCTCGGAATTAGAAATTGTAGAGCCGAGTTTCAATTCCAGTCGCCCGTGGAGCAACTGTTCAAGAGTTCCAGAAGTGGTAAGTGTCAGAGAAGAAACGGTTAGCATAGAATTTTCGGTTATATCTAGCCAATTCAACTGTGAGACCTTGCCGCCAAGTACTGCGATTAAATTCATAGTCTCGGTACAATAGAACATTTACAATGGAAGTATTTGTAGAAAAAAGCACAGAAAAGCTACGTTCAATGTTATGAGAATGAAAGGAAATTATGGAGGACGCTTATTTTTGTTTTGGTAATCGAAAATGATTTTTTGTACTACTATTACTACTACTACTACTACTACTAATATTACTAGTAATAATAACTATTTATTATTATTATTATTATTATTATTTTATTTCTGGTGTATACACATTTCTTTCCGGATCTCAACCAGAGAGCTATGGTCAGAAATAGCTTCGTGACATTTTTCACTGATAATTTTATAAAAAAACTGAGACACTGTATTTAAATTTTTGAAGATCAAAGTTGACTGGAAAGAAAGAGGATGGAAGAGAGTTCTACAAATGAAAAATACGACAGAAGAAACTGTTAGCATAAAACGTACAGTTACATCTAAAATGATGAGATCTAACTGCCAATCTAGTACTGCGTTTAAATTTGTAAAGTCGAGGTATCAAAGAGTAAAGCTCACCAAAACTTTATAGAAAAGGCACGGTGAAGCTAAGTTACAGTGGTGGGAAAGTGACTGAAGTTGAGATGCCAGATCAGGACAGATAACATTGCAGTTTCTTTTTTGGATTTTGTCAAGAATTTCTAGATACACAGCAAGATGTGCACTATTCAATACTAAGACGAATGGTGAACTGAAATATGTAAGATAGATTCTGTTGAGAAAAAAGAAAATGTCTAGAACGACACAGTGAATCGACTTTCCTTGCAGCAGATCTAACGATTGATTCAATATAATATTTCCACTTCATGTCAGCGAAAAACATCAGGAGCGAGAAATCCAAGGTTATGCATATTAGTTCCTGAAATGAAAAGAAAGCCAGTCCTTGTGATGCAAAGACCGCTCGAAGAGGTGGGTGTTTTTCAGTATCTCTACAGGAACATTTGTAAAAATGGTGAGGTAGATGTGGACAGCATCTTTAGAGTCACCAAGACCAACACAATCTTCTGATGTGTATAGAATTCAACAGAGAAATCAAGTTGTGTCTGTACACTTCAAAGACTACCCCTACGATAATCAAGCAATTTGAGGTTTTCCATCAATGCATTTCATTCTCAGTGTACTTTCGGAACAAAACGGGAAACGAAGGTGTGTTACAAAGGAATCAGCAGGACAAGGTTGTAATTCTACGGGCAAGCACTGAGAAAGAATGAATCCAGCCCTGCTTATTTACTAGCTTGACTGGTTACCAGCTGCTGGAAGACTGCGAAATTGATGACACAGGACAACCCCTAGAACAGGATCTAAGCAGAAGATCAATGTGCTCAGGAAGTACGAATCTAATCGCAAAGTTTTCCCCTGGTACTCCCAAAAGACAGGAGGACCAAATTATTACCCCCCCCCACACACACACAGAAAGAGAGAGAGAGAGTTACTAATACCTACCCTCCCTAATAAACCAATCTAAAGCAACAATTTTCGCACCCAATCTAATAAAAGCAGTTTCTTTTTTTAACACTCTTATAGTAAAGAAAATATCCCCAACCCTGATGTCGATCAACGATGACCGAAAGCGCTTGGAAAATAAATTGAGGATTCCTCTTCCATCATCTGGATCCTGGCATATGAACGATCACGCGACAAATGGAAAGAATAAAAAAGAAAAGAATATCAAAAGAAAGATTTCTTTGATATTTATAGACGTATAGAATTAATACAAATATAAAGTTTGTCACTCAGCTGATGATATATATATATATATATATATATATATATATATATATATATATATATATATATATATATATATATATATATATACAGACTATTCGCGCTGTATCACAGCTCTTCAGTGTGGCTGGCTAGACGTCCGATTGCTTCAAGCCGGGATCGAAAACCGACTGATTTGACA